CCCCAAAACCCCAAAACCCCAAGATAATTCAATATTAGGATTTAGGAGATATAAAATAAATAATCAAAGAAACATAATTTTATTTTTTTAGAATAGCAAGCAACAAAATGGAAGATATATTAATTTACTACAAAAGGAGAATATACTCATGCTAATTAGGAGAAAGTAATTAACTTATTCTTTAGAGATTTTCCAGATTTCAATGATTTCATTGAAAACATTAGAGTAGAAATCGGAGAAGGAGAAGCTATCAAAGACTCATTTTGCTATGTTGATAAGGAATTCAACAATTTCTCAGTCGATGATGCTGATGAATACGAGACTTCATTTGTAAATGAATACAAAAAAGGAGGAGTTATTGCTGTGGTAATTGCTGGGGAGGATGAATTTGATATTCCTACCATTGAAGAGAATGATCCAGAATTTCTAAGTTTAATTGATGAATACAATACCACGAGATAGGAGACAAAATAATAAAATCTCAAATAAGCCAGTATCAATGAAATGTAAAATCTGGTTACTATTGATGAAGATAAGGATGATAATCTTTCTCAATCATAGGAATCAGTTGCAAATGAGGAGAATGGATAAAATTCCTCAAACCACCATGAATATTAGAGAAACTCTAATAATGATCATAATGTATATGAAATTGGTCAAAACCTTTTTATCAGTTCAAATGATTATTCTTTAGGCTATGGTGATGGTCACTTAGACCCTTATCAAAACTAAGCTCCTACTTCACCAATGAATCTAGCAATTGAAGAGTAGAAGAACGAAAATTCTACTAGCTTGAGTATGCAACACTTGGTTTAATAGCCTAATCTTGGTCTTAACATAGATGGCTCTCTAATGTAAAGAGGAGTTAATGCTTCTTAAGATAAAGTTGAAAATAGTTCTTAAGCTATTTCAAGCTAAGTTCCAGGCTATGGATAAAGCAATTCTAATCTATCAAAATTTACTTCATTGTTCTAGGATGAGGGTGGATAAATTAATCTCTAAGATGATAAGTTTGAAGTAAAATCTGACATTGATTAAGAAGAAGTAAAAAAAATGGATTCTGATGGCATCTACTAAAATCCCCAAAATACTATCATAGGAAATAACCAACTTGCTTAGGAGGAAATCATTGATCCTTATTCTTTTGAAGCTAATGTGAAAATGAATAATTAATCCCCAGCTCAAACTCAAGTGGTAATAGTTAAAAAGCAAGGCGGATAACAAAAGACATATTTCAGTCCTCCTCCAATACTTGATTATCCTGAAGAAATGAAAGAAGATTCATATCAACAAAGTCCTCCTTAAGAAAATGAAAGTTATCATTCGCCTAAAGACAGTTAATAGAATTCTAATTCTAAAAGTATATCAAAAAAAGGACCAAAGAGTTCTCATGAGTTGGAACATGCAGACTGTATTGCTGAGAATTCAAAGATCGTTACAGATTGCTTATCTCTTATTGTCTAGAAAAATAAGAATCTTGACTTTGATGTCAGAAAAATATCAGATGAAGACTTGAAATAAACAATAAAAAGAACGAATTCTATCGCGCTTGGAGATAATAATCATCTAATTGATTTTGATCAATTTGAGTAGAATGGAAGAGGATATATGACGATGAAATATCAAAGACTTCCCTGCTTACTTTGTAAAAGATATAACAAGAATCTTCAGAATTTAGATTAAATAGATTGGGAAAATGAAGATCCTTCAAAAGCCTGCATATGCGATAATGGTATTATGACTGAACAGTAGTAATATAAAATCTAAATGAATCATCAAGCATAGCTTGAGCAAATTGTCGACAATGCAGTATAGAACAATAATGAACTAATCTTTATTGCACAAATTGGAGAGAATTCAAAGTTGGAATACAGAGTGGAAAAGAAGGGCATTCAATAGGTTCAGGTAAATATTGAGAATGAGGATGAAGACTTCATTTAACACAACCTCATGAATGGTAGTCGTAGTTAATCTAATAGCATAGACTATGGGCCTAATGTAATGCCTTTCAATGATGTTAATTGTTCATAATAAACTGAAATATATCGTGTTGGATCATTTTAAACTCAAAGCATAACTTCAATCAGAAGACTAAGTAGTCATACTAATCCTCTTAATTCGATTCAAAGTTTGAATTCTTTCAAGAAAAAGCAATAGCATGTGCATGAGGGCTTTTGTTGCATGCACTGTACCGAAAAGATATATGGAGTGAGATATGAATGCTCTGAATGCTTAAATCAATCCATTTGTGAGTAATGCGAAGATAATAATAGCCATCCTGAAAAACATGTTTTATTAAAGTTTAAGTTCCCATTACTACCAGTACATTAAAGCTCTGTTATTCCTGAAGAAGAACATTCAAGGCTAGAGGAGGAGAAAAATAAAAGCCATGACGAAGAAGATAACGAAGAATAATGCGTTTTTGATCACTACAATTTCTAAGTTCATTCTGAATATTAAAATAATACTGAAAAAACAGCTTAGTAAATAATCTTTTAAAATATTGCAGAATCAAAAGAGGAGCACTCAAATCAAACTTCTTCTCCATAGTAAAACAATAATTAAGCAAGTGGTGTTTAATAAATTGCTGACATGAATGAGATGATTGAAGATGATTATATAGAAGAGATGGAATTAGACATCCCACTTAGCAAAGGCAACTCAGCAAATTTTAAGTTTGATACTAATTTTTCAGGAAAATCAAATAAATCTCAAAATAGATAACGATATACACCATAAAATGCAGATGTTGATCATGAAGCATATAATCAAGAAGAATCTGATGAAGGATAACAGCAGTCACTTCATTAAATACTATAGATTAGTGATTTTTCACTTAATCCTTAACAAATTCACTAGGACACAATACCAAATATCAAAGCTATAATAGATTAAAACATAGGTGAAGAGATTGTAGAAGATGAAAAGTGGCAAGAGATTAGCTAGCCAGACTAAATAGAGGACTAATACAGTGAACAAACAGATGATTCATCATATTATGATGATTTGATTGGGATCATTGAAAACCATGAATAAAAATCTAAGGAATTGTTGGAAAAATATAGGTTAAATATTCCTGCTGATAGTAATTCTTTCTTTGATGTTTTTTAAGAAACTGATGCAGAAATTGCCTAAGAAGATGCTGATTCTAAGGAGAAGTTCAATCTACTAGTGAGTTAAGAACAAGATAGGGAAATGGCAGATAAGTTAGTAGCTTTAAGCAAATTTACAGGATAATACAATCACAATCTTTTCAAAGAGTTATTGATAGCTACAAACGGGAATTTAGAAGATATTGCAGAAAACTACCTTTGAAATTAATCTTCTATTTGATTGTGCTGTACTTCTTGTTGATCACTATAATTCCTTATAATTATTATATTATCTTCTGTTAATCAATTAAATTTAAATATTTTCAGTCAAAAAATTATGAAAAATTATGAATGACGGGGTTTTGGGGTTTTGGGGTTTTGGGG